TTAGTTTTGTATCAAGTGTTTAAAATTATAATAAAATTCAAACATTTGAATGAACCATTATTGCAAAAACAGCTTACAATTCACATTTTTGATGACTAACTCAGTAAATAAAATAACTAATATCTCCAGAATGTATCTTTATTAGCTCAATATTTTGATTTTACAGTTTCTTCAGGAGCTGTTGATATCCTACAAGCTCACTAATCTAGTTGAATCTAATCCAATTTAGATTCACCTGGATTAGATAGTGAACTTGTAGGATATCAATAGCTCCTAAAGAAGCTGTAAAAGTGAAATATTGTGCCATTAAAGATACATTCTGGAGATATAGATCATTGTTTTATTTACCTTAATAGAAATGTCTTGTAATAAACTCCAATTTGCATTAAACAATGATAAGGACTTATCACTATATTTATTACCAGTTAAGTGGCAAGTGGACCTGATGCTCCATTTATTTTATTCTTCTGTCTTGTAATAAACTCCAATTTGCATTAAACAATGATAAGGACTTATCACTATATTTATTACCAGTTAAGTGGCAAGTGGACCTGATGCTCCATTTATTTTATTCTTCAATATTTTTGAAAATGACTAAAAAGAAATTTAACAAATGTTTAATATATATTCATGTGTACATCATCAGATAACTTCTGTGTATATCAAATAAGTATTATTAGTTTATCTTCTTGTTAATTGTTTAACATAAAATGGTTAATTACTCAGTTGTATATTAATGTGAAAAGAAAGGGTACCAACATTTCCAACAGTACCTTTGATAGTGCATATAAATTTTTTTATCAATTATACACAGTTTTGTTTGCATTATGTTAAAAGTTTGAGGTTATGAGAAGAATATGTGATTTTAATGAATAACCCAAAATAAACTATGTATCATATTATTGAAATAATTACTTGAGTTTATCTTTTATGTTTACTTTCGTCAGCCAGCAAGTCGTAACCATCTTGGAATCTTAGAAAAAAAGAAGGACTATAAAGCTAGAGCAAGGTAAATATATTTCATAGTTTAAGATTTTTGTATCAAAATAGAATTATATGATATATAGTACATGTATATTTCCAGTTATTGGACTGCATATTAAATTTTATATTAATAGTTTCATTTTGAGTTTACTTACTGATTGAGTATTATTTTATTACAAGTTACAGCTTTTACAGTAAGGAAGCTTTGTTTTTAGAACAGATATGATGTTTTAGTCACTAGTGTGATCATTCTCAAGTACACAAGTTTTACAATAAAAAATGTTTTAATATTTAAATCAACATTCAATAATCTGGTTAAAAACTGGATATTTTGCATGTAACTCTTGGGATTCATATTAAACTATGGTGAGTTTATGCTGTAGAAATACTTTTAAACATTATTCTTGCATATGCAACAAACCATGTATGTCTATGTAAAATGGTTTTCCAATATGATTTTTCAAAAGTGTTTCCAAACTTCTTGGATACCCTACATATTTGTATATGCTTTTAAAAGGCTTTGGAATGATAACATGCTTATTGTGTTACTATGCATGCAGTGTTAAAAATTAATTACAAGAGTAGCTCTCCAATACTGAAACTGTTATTAGAACAGTAGCTAAATTGAAATATTTCTACTAGTTTGTTAGATTCAAAATACATAATTTCAAAACTTGATAAAACATTATTGACCCAATATACAATTTTTAGGCAGTTTAATATGGTATTTTGTAATCATTTTTGTCTGACTTACCTTACAGAGACTATCAAAAGAAACAAAATGCCCTGAAAGTGTTAAGAAAGAAAGCTCTTAATAAGAATCCTGATGAATTTTATTTTCACATGATCAATTCCCAAATAGAGGTAAGGCTTGAACTTTAATGTATTATGTTTTTAAATGATGGTTTAATGTGTTTAATACAGTGTGCAAATCAAATCTCTGTCAGTAATATCTTTTACTTAATAGTGATTTACATGGCCTGAAATTATACAATAATTCTTTATAGAAACATGTAGGTCACGCCATGTGTTACGTATTACAATTTCAAATAGACTAAAACTGAGTTAAATTGTAATTTAGATTTAGAAGTTAAATAAATGCCAATATGTATCCAACTTATGATATTTGCCAAAAAGATTGATACACACAGTTTGTTTTTGAATACAGATATACTTTAATATACAAACAATAATACAATTTACAGTAAAGGTTATTATGAAATGCTCTATGTACAAAAGACTTACAAACAATATTGAGTCTTCTTTCTGGTCTGGAACTTTCTTGATGTCTTACCGAGGGTTCACGATAAGCAAATTAATTTTGAGTTGATGTAGGTACAATTCACTTAAGAGGAAGCTAGCTAGCTCTATATTCTTTCTTTACCGGTCATACGTCGCGCTTTACCGTCAATGAAGTTAGGTAATGTTTTCGTAAAAGTACTAATGTCCGATGTGAATCCACTGAAGTTAAATGGTTTGTGATGTTCAAAATTTATAAACATTCCTGGTCAAATAGCTGAAGTTCCCGATTTCTAAGCGTTAATCACAGTTATAGCATCCGAGGTTTATAGTATACCAACTGTAGAAAACCAATAATATATATAGTGTCTTTTGGCACTACCCGTTGGTTATATTTATAGGCGTGAGGAGAGTTTCTCGAAATTTCAGCTTATACAACAATACTGAGAGATCAAATTAGTGACTATGGTGCAGTGTAATTACAGATGCCAGTACAAGAAAGAAGTATGGGGGTATGTTAAGGATATTGTATATCACACACCTATAGCAAACATTATGGAGCTAAATGCCAGGATAACAGATACCATCACCTTTGTAACTGTGAACATGTTGCAGTGAATATAGACTGAGAATGAATATCAATTAGATGTGCTGAGAGCCACTAATGGTGCACATCTAGAAATCTACTGGCATGTCAATGTTTGAGTTGGGCTACTAGGTGTTGAGAATTGCACAGTTGTATTTCCTTAGTTAATTAATTATTTATATAAATTTGAAAATAGGAAGGATAATTTTGGGCCACTCTGTATTTTAGCTCAAGGATAACAACCATGTGTTCAAATTCTAAAATTGATAAAGCCTATTAAATATTACTAAGAAAAAAATTCATGCATTTACTTATTTTAATGATTAAATTCTGTAAACAGCTGTGTATGTACTTGTGGGTTTCAGATAATATGTATACTTTAAAAATCTTCATCACAGTTTGCTGGTTTATTTAGGATGGAGTTCACTTTGAAAAGGAAAAGCCCACTGAATTCACAGAAGAACAACTAAAGCTCATGCAGACTCAAGATTTAAGTTACATCACCATTAAAAGAAGTGCAGAGACTAAAGTTTGTATTGTTATTATACTTATTTGTTATATTTTGTTAATCACTTTTTTTTTGTTAAAGGTAATATGAAAAATATGAATTCAAGATTAATTATTCTATTGGAACTTTTACTCCAAACAAACAAAAATGTTTTGAATTCATATTATTAAAGAACCCCTTACATATATTAAATGTTACTGTATTACTGTATATGAAATTACTGTATAATGAAATTACTGTATATGAAAATTAAAATGTTTTTTTTACTGATATTATGAAAGGTAAAATTTAAATTCAAAATTCTTTCGAAATACCCCAAGCATACAAAATAATAAAATACGTTAAATCTCTTGAGCATATTTATTAATCATGTAAAATGGCAGTTCTATTCAAATGTAGCACCTAAATTGAGATATGTATTTTCTTTAAAATAAATGATTGAAATCCTTAGCTTAAAGTGGTCAGTGTAAATTATACAGGCAATTTTAGTCAGGGCTAGTCTTAGACTGAATGGTATCTGGATTGAATAAATAATATGGAAAATTAATATAATTTTTGATGCATTCAGTTAGTTAAGATTTAAGGTGTAAACCAACTCATAAAAAAATCACTGACTGATTGTAAGGTGACGGCTGTTATCATTCAACAACTATAAATCATTGAGAGTTCCTTGACATCTGGTTTACAAAATTCATTATAAGTTGAGTATGGGTTAGTTGGTGAAACATTTTATAGTATTCAATAGCACAACTGTAAGCATTATTTCACTAAATATCAAAACCAGTATCTATACTATTATTCTGCTTGTTTGTATGTACGACCGTCATGCTTTCTGACTGAGAACCTGCTGCTTAAGCATGCATAGTTATAATGTTTCCCCAAGAAAAACTGCGCATGTACATTATTCACTCGACGACAAACAGTCTGCCTGCAACAGAAAGCTGCAAAGCTCAGTGATCAAGTCACTACAATTGCTGTATGAAACAAGAAGTAACAACAAAAGGGGAATGTAAATATACTTTAACCATTTTGTACAACAGAATATTAAAAACTTATACAAAGTTTTTAAAAAAGGTTTAACGTTAGGTTGTAGAA